GTTTAGCTGTTCACAAATTCATTGCACTTGTCATCTTTGATTTGGTTTTTAAGAAATATAATCAATTTCAGTTCTTCTGTTTTCTACGATTTAGTTTACATAAGATGTGATTTGTTATGAAATGTGATTTTCGATCTGATTCGTGGGTGAATAAAGCTGCGAAGCTATTTGATAAAAAAACGATCAAAGTATGACGACATAAGCATATCTATCAACGGTCTTGAGTCAAATCGAGCATGCACATCGTTTATGATTACTATCAGATGAGGTATGGTACTATCAGATGATGCTAGTGACAGTAGAGTGATACCAGCGATAATGCATCACATCTGCACGAGACCAATCAAAATGATTCAGCAGAAGCAAGCTTATGGCGAGTCGGACATGCGATCGGCCAGTCTAACTACCTATCTACCGCATTCACATAAAATATATCCATCCACATATCCAGCTATCCTTCTCAAGCCATAGCTTTCGAATCTGATGATGAGATATTGAACATCATCATTATTATCATTTAATAATGTCATTTGGTTTAATATCATTGCACATCATTTAGTTGAAAATTAATGATTCGTTGATCACATACATATATATGCAGACGTATCATCAACTGCTAACAATCAATTTAGCATTATTATTGCTACTATCATCGTTGTTATTATTGTCATTATTNAGTATTAATCTTACCATTAGCACTGTTAGTGATCATCTTTGGGTAATTCATCATTATATCACTACTGTTTGGTTGAAGAAGTGATTATCATATCAGTATGTATTAGATGTAATTTCTGATCGAAAGACCGTTGAATTTTGATCATTGGTATTTGAATTGCACTTTCGTAATTGCCTCATTTTTTATCAATTGCTATTCTCAAAAAAATAAACTAGTGCAAAAAATCATTTGCCACAAATCGAAAATCGCTGGACAGAGGGCATAAGGGCATTCACTATTCGACACGTACGCATCAACTAATGGACTGATGATTCAACTTATTGCTAGAAGGTGATCATCAATTGTGGTGATCGAATTTATGTCGACGACAATGTAGGGGACTTGAATATATTTCAGTTTGATTGCGACATTTCACTGAAATTTTCAAAGAGAATATCTGATAGCAGAGTTTTTACATGCCTAGTAACATGATCACAAGAAATGACTTGGTAGAAGTTGAGAATAATATCAT